ATTTTTTTAGTTCTGCGTGTATATGGGCAGGATTCTGCAGGCAGCTGCTTACCTCAGAACTACGGCACATACWGTACTTTAAATATTTAGGACGTTTCTGCCAAAGCAAACAATATTTCTTCAAGGGTCAGAATGAGATTGGTCATGTTTCTCCTGCACATGCAGGTCACATCAGGGCTGTGGAGAGTTCACACTGCAGTCTGATAGAGGTCACATTGAAAATATAATAAAATAAAGTATAATGTGAACGTCCAGAATAGGGGTGTAAATCACCAGCTGTATCACGATACGATAATACATCGATATGTTTGGATGATGATTCGATATTTCTCAATATCATAAAATCTGTCACAATATGATTTTAATTCAGTTCACATTTCTGTGATCGATATAATGTGACATCATGATCCCATCTAACACAATGACTGTTAGATGGGCATATGATATCGATTCACATTGAGCATAAGATGATGATATAGATCAATATTTTCATTTTGCCTTGATATAATTGAATCATGAACCATTCAAAGTGATATATCAATATAAATCGATGTATTGTTACACCCCTACTCCACGACAAAATCAGATGAAGCATATAGACCTGCAGAGTGGACATAACCTAAATCTTTTGAAGTATTTTTTCTGCAGGAAAATTATGTACAACTGTTATCACTGTATGTAAATCAAAATATTACAAAGATGTGTAGTTCAGACCAGATTGATGATATTATTGCTGGTTCAAATGCAGCCAAGAACACTACTTGAACTGTCACTCAGCAGTAGAAACACTGTCCATGGCTCAAAGGGAAATATAGAAACATAGAAGTCTAAAGTTCACAGTTTCTTCGTCTCTGTATAGTAAAAATAATCAGTGTACCACCGCAATGAATTTATACTACAGGACCTGTTTGGTTGGAGTTCAGATAAGCAGAGTACCATCTCTAAAGCAGCTGGAGATGATTTACTGGCAAAGGTTCAATGGTTTTTCCTGGAGTGATCGTTGTTAGTAGCTGATCTTTTCCTATGAGACTGACCTCTGAACTCTGCTCTGACTTCAGCTTCCTGGAAGTGTGTGTGTGTGTCTTTGTATGCCTACTTTTATCATGGACGAAATGGAAAATGGAAAAGATTATTACTGCCATTTATACCAGTGAAAGTTCCCGTGAAAGTGACGACGCTAAGCCATGTTTTTTTGTTTTTGTACCAATAAAAATGTTTGAATTCTTTTGGAAGGTGAGCAGAAATGTGTCTTTTAATCTGAAGTTTTGCATGTAAGATTCATAAATGTCTCCAGCTTTGAGTTGAATTTCTCTCTCCGACATAGCTACACATAATTAAAAACTACGCGGAATGACTTCTAACATTAACCTTCAAATAGTTGAGGTTTTTATACTATTGTATTTTTACACAGAGATTCCAGTCAGTACTTTCATATTTGTGTTTTTTATTGTAGACATGCCACATAAGAATGTTAAGGCCGACTTGACAGTTGTTTGGCAGCTCTCTTTGCTGTTGTAGATGGCATCCTGAAATCCTGTCCATAGCTGCAGCTCATACTGGTTAAGCAGAGGGTGTGACTGTGTTTGTGCTTTGCTGCAGAGGATGTGTGTAACCCTGATAAAAGAATCATTACTTAGGAGTCTTTATGGAGCCTTTCATTGCTCCGGTGTGGAGTGAAAACGGAGGCTTGTTCCGAAGGAGCAGACCCAGGCCCCGCGCCACGGGTTGGTCACCTCGGCCTCAATGGTGGGCTTGTCTGCAGGCCCCATGCCACGGCTTCCTGAGAGGGAAGTTGTTTCAGCTGGTGGTTAGCTGCCCTTTGTCCCTCAAAATGTGGACCTGCATGTATCTTCTTGTGTTTGTCCGAGGACCAAGTGTTGTAACAAAAAACTAAATGGTGGGAAACTCTGAAATGGAGGCTTTGCTCCAAGTGAAGGACTTAGTTTGTACAGCTGGTTTAAAAACCTTCTTGGAATTAACAGGATTTCTTCACTGGTTTCCTCTGAAATGCATTATTTTGCTGTAGACTAAGTTGGTACAATCAAGTTTTATACAACACACTGAAAGCGCCTTTTAAAGTTCAGRATGGAGTTGGTCTGTTTTGTTCAAATTACTTCTCATAACCTTTAATTTAGGATAATGAAGTTGGTTTAGTTGAATGTTCCTCCTTATGTACACTGAGCTGAGCTGATCAGTGTAGTAATGAATGAATCAGATTTATATTATGCCTGTCTAGTTAGATTTTTTTTACTCTGAATAACATTATTTATCAATTGGCACTTTTTATGTGAAATCAAGCCAATTGTTAATTTTATTATTCCAAGGTAACAATGTAAACCCAACAAGTAGTTGAAATCCACTACAAACATGATGTCCTATTAGTGTAAATGGACGAGGTTTTGCTATTTACCATTTAACAAGATGGTTGGAAATGAAGGAATAAAGTGATTTTTAATAATTGATTTTCTGTCTTGAGCTTGGCCAACAGGAAAAAAAATGTTTTTTAGAAATGTTTCTGAACTTCTGATCACTTTCTAAGTTTATTAAGACTGATCCAAACTTTTTACATTTACAGTTTTTTAAAGGCATAAAAGGAATAACTGAATTGGCAGCTTTGTTGAATTGTTTTCCTATAACTTGATCTAATTTGTGCTCAGTCTTGATTTTTTAAGTAAACAAGTCTTTTACTTATGTTCTTGCAGAACTTGTAACAAAGTTGCATGTTTGTGCACGCAGAGGGTGGGGGTCTGCCTGACTCAGAAGAGGAATCTGTTAATTACACTCAAGATTTAGTTAACCTTGCAGAGGAGGAGTGTTGTCTCAGCAGATGAAGGGCCTTTTGTTTTTTAAAGTTTGTGTGACTTCACTCTTCACACTGAAAAATTCCTCACAACCAAAAGTCAAAATTTCAGTATGAGAGCTGATGTTTGTTAGACTTAGACAAATACAGTATCACTGAACAAACATTAACCATTTATATAAGATGGGTTTAGAAACCAGCTACATATAAAACTATTTAGTGTAAATCAGACCAAGTTTGGCACCTTCCATTCTTTGGAAAGTCCTTGTCTAAAATCATTAGGTGAAAACTGAAACTCTCTTGAATGAGCTGYGACTGATGCAGAGCTGTGGATGTGATTGGAGGGTGACAGCTGAACTGCTTTGTGTTGTTGGAATCCAGTTGACCAGGTCTGTCTCAATGTGGCAGCTCAGCATGTCGTCTCTGTGACCTGAAATGATTCGAGTATGCGGCAGGAATGTGACTTCATAATATGACCTCAAAGAAATGAAACGTCCAACGTGAGGAATGCTGGGAATTCCTAAGAGAATGGCAGYGGCAAGGTTGATTGTTTTGGTGCTGAAAACACAGGAGAAATACCTGCGGCTGTGCAACACCTGAAATTTCCTTTAGGGTTGAATCTGTMTGAGTCAGTTTTCTGCAAGATCCAACCACCTGGTGTTGAATGAAGAGGGTTGAGTGTTATGTTTAAATAGTTTGTTAATCAGAGAAAAAACTTTTTAATTGCTCACTACATTTTTTGCAACACCACATGTGTGCACAAGTCTTGGTTTAAATGCACACACATTTTCAGCAGCAATCTGTGTTTCTGTATGTGTTTGAAGACTTCAAACACTACCAGCTGTCCAACTGATTAGCTTCTGAAGTCACTCCAATTTAAAATGCTCACCATGGCTAATTATTATAAACCAAAACATACATTGCTATAACTCTTACTATATATCATTAACAAATACCAGGCTACATTTTTTGTGTGGTAGTAGCTGAGAGTTGTGCCCAACTCCATCTCTAAGGTCCAACCCTGGAAGTCAAGGATTGCTAGCCTGTCTGGTTTCCTGCTCCAACAGATATTATATATATATTTTATATAGCAGGTAATTCACTCATTCATTTTAGATCAAGTGTGTTGGAGCAGAGAAGCTTCTAAAACCTGCAGGTTAGTGGCCCTTGAAGTCCAGGATTGGACACCCCTGCACTAAACACTACATATTAGGTAACATTGGCTTAAAACTCCAGCATCAAGTGTTACCCTCAACACTTTCTGCTTGGAAAATGTCAGAAACCAATGGATGGATTTTCATAAAACACTAAAATGAATCACTACCTGTACATTTACAACATGTCAACATTTAGAGTCAACCTAATGGTAATGGTTTTCACAGCTAATTAATTTCAGGAAACACAGAAATCACTATAACTCAGTCAGTTATAGCCTTTCAGCTAACTTTTGGATAATAGTAGCTGAGAGCCATCCCGATGAGATTAATGGAGTGCTTACACAATTCCCAAGATCACACGTGCTGTCTTTCACAAAGTTTAACCGAAACGACTATAATTCAACCCCTTACATAACAAGATGATCTTTGTCCAGTGCTCTGGTATTAAAGGCGGTGGATGATATGCATTCTTTCAAGGAGGCTAGGAATTTAATGAAATAAATATTGATGATGTTTTGCTTTCTATCAGATTTCAGGAAAAATGCTTTTGCACAGAAACTAGGGTTGAACARTATTGACCAAAAATTTATCACAATTATTTATGGCATTTAGCAGATAACAATATGATGATCAATAGATGACTATTGCACTTCTGATTTGATTTGGTTTTGATTAAGTCAGTCACCTTGCGTTCTAAAATTATACTTACAAATCACAAGTCAAACTAACTTCTTCATTTTAAACAGCTTGAAATGGTAAACTGAATTGAAACCTCCCCTTTCCACACTGTGGAGTGGCAGCAGATCTTTAGTAATGCAACATGCCACAGGCTTACATGCTTCATAGTGAGAGTGCATCACACAAGAATTTCACAAAAAATACGTAATCAGGTGGCCCTCACTGCAAAGTGGCAAATATTAGTTGGTGACAGTTTTTCTGATGATTAATTGCACACAATATTTGCTCAGTCCCATCAGAAACTGAATGATATTGATTGTGTTTACTGTAAAACTTGATGCACGTTCGTTGTGCTCTTCCTGCAGATGGATGGAGGCCTGCCTGGATGAGGAGCTGCCCCCAACTACAGAGCTGGAGGAGGGGCTGAGAAATGGTGTTTATCTGGCCAAATTGGCCAACTTTTTTGCCCCACAGACCGTTTCCCTGAAGAAGATCTATGACAGAGAGCAGACGAGATACAAGGTAACGCTTTATTTTGGTGTTTGGACTTGGTGGGATTTCAAGTGCAAATGTTGTCTGATTTAAAACAAAAGTAGGGATACAGACCTTTTTATTCATTTTTTCCCACAGTTTATGGTATAACTTTTATTGAAAATGCATTGCAACATTTTCATGATTTGTTGAAGTGAGCCCATAAAAATTAAACCATGAAGTGTTCTAGTAGGGTACACTGAAAAATTACGGTTAAATCTCATTCCACACCAAATCACCCAATGGTTTTAACCCAATCACATCAGAGTTTGATGAAAATGTGCATATTTGTCAGGTGTGACCCCACATCAGTGTCTCAAATTTGAGGTCTTCCAGAGATATGACTCCCAAAAGTTTAGATTATCTACAAAAATWTGAGCGTCCTCCCATTTCAACCTCAATTATCTCAGAACCTCCTGGTTCAATCTTCACAAACCTGTATTATTGGAGAGGGAATTTGATAAGGAGTACAAATCTGCCTTCGTTTTTGGTTTATTTATGAACTATTTTGCCATAAAATATTTTTTTCCTATGACCTTGATATTGACCTTGTTGATCACACAAACTTGATTCTTTCTGAAATTAAATCCCCCACTTGTTACCTAAAACAAAAAAGTTTCAGAAGAGCAATATTTTTTGATTGGGAGCAATTTTGATTTAAAATTATAAATTGAATGAAAGTGATTAAATACTTTATAAATGAATGTTTTTGGATTAAGCTCATACTGACTGTAGACAAACATGATTCATAAAAAACTTTCTTAGAGGCCTGATATTCCTTTATTAGGCCTGTCCTTTCCTGAAATTTACCCCATTCGTTATCTAAACTGTGATATAAAATTTGTATCACAATGAATACAGTTTAGTTCAGTGTGCAAGTGAAGATAAACTGTGTAGGGTAGCAAAGCATGATGCTGTCTTTCATTTCTGAATGTTTTTTTTGCATTCATTAAAAACCCACTGACATCTGGCTCTCGTATACTGTGGAACTTCGATTAATTAGTTTGCTTTGAGTTTTTGTAAAATTTCTATCAATCAACATCAGATGAAATCTGCATTCATGGGAACACATCAGTGATGATGACGACTCCCAGAATCAAATGTTTATGATCAGCCTGTAATTATGGCTGAGCTTTACTGTGAATGAAAGCCGATATTAGGTATCGGGACCAATATCAGATATTGATATTGGATTGGGACAACACTAATTTTACTTCGTGCCCACGGTGCTTTTAAGTGCAGAGTTCTAAGAAGCTTTGAAAACTGTGTTTTTGCAAAATGAACTCCAATACAAATCATAAATACATAACTTTTGTACAGTACATGTTATTTAGGGTTGAGCTCAGACCTGTTTACATGTGAATAGAGCTCATCTTACAGCCTTTGGGGAAGAATGAATCAGTTTTTGAAATTTTCTTCTCATGTTTGACTTTTTCTCTTCCAGGCGACAGGTCTTCATTTCAGACACACAGATAATGTCATCCAGTGGCTCAATGCCATGGCAGAGAAGGGGCTGCCAAAGGTGAGGGCACATCATCTGCAAACCACTCAGGGTCAGGCTATCATACAGTAAATGTATTTTCTTTGCATTGCATCTAATCTTTTCCAAATGCGCATGACTCGAGATAAATCACTTATGCCATACTGTAAGTTTATTTACTCTTATTTAACCAGATGAGCTCCACTGAGACAACAGGTTCTCTTTTTCAAGGAAGCCCTGGACCTGAAGGCAGCAACAGAAAATTCTAGGTCAAATTCAGAAAAAATACCAATAAATTTTAGGTTAGAAAAAAACAGAAAAAACATGATTGTATATTTCATGGGTACAYTAAACAAACTGCCATGTAGGAGAAGGCAGAGTGAGCTTGTTGTAGCTGCAGCTGCTAAAAAACTTTGTCCAAAATTGAAAGGTAAATTTTGAGGCCCTTGCCTCCACTACTGGGGGCAAAATTACACTTCCCGGATTTCTTTTTCTGGTAACTTCTGTTAATTTAAAATCTTTCAATTAGACATAGGTGTGTGATTTCAAACATCAGAATCTCAGCTAAAACTCATAAGAACTGTTTCTACATCCACTAAACACTAGCAACGTTTACATGGATATAAGTAATCGGATTAAACGGCCGTTCGGAATAAAAATGTGTCATGTAAACAGCCCGTTCGGATTATTCTGATCCGATTGAGCTCGAGCCGAATGAATTTTTAATCCAAATGAGTCGGGTGGGTTATGCCGATTGATAATCGGAATGACGTTCATGTAAACACTTAATCGGATCATCTTATTCTGATTGTAGAAAACTGACCTGAGTGCGCAGGTCTTCAGACTTTCATTCACCTGGTTCTGCTCTTAGAGGGGGCGGGACACAGCGCTCCAGCTGCGCTGCGCCRCGCAGAACTTTTCCTCCTCGCTCTCTTAACAGATGGAAAAGGAGACAAACAGCAGACATTGCTTCACAAAAAATAAAAATAAAAAACACGTATTGCTTCATCTGCAGCTCAACCGAGGAGTAACGACATCTCTACCATTATTGAAAACTGACACGGGTCCGTCGTGAGCTCACAGAGGAGCTTTGTTTTCATTTGTAACACGGAAGTAGAGCTGAAAGTTTACAACACTGTGCATGTCCGGACTTTTATTCTGACTAAAAGTCCGGTGCATGTAAACACTTGTCATGATCGGATTGTGTCCATGTAAACAGTACATTAGGATTATTTAATCCRAATACATTTCAATCTGATCAAAAAATTTTGTGCATGTAAACRTAGCTATTGACAACYAGCAACWGTTGAATCAGAAYGTAARCAAATGATATAAAATGCAATRCAAATCTGTACRTATGTTTAGATTTTTTTTWAAAGAAGAAACATTTAAAAACAAGTTTTTCAAGCACGAAGAAGCAAGTAACTTTTCCAAGGTTTCTTAAGTTATTAATTCTACAAACATGGTCCATGTTGTAAAGGATGATAAAAGACATAGCTGTCTTTACTAAAACCTTTGTAACGTTGCTCTGGTTCACTTCAGCCACATTAATCACTGCACAGGTAGAGTCCACATGTGAATTTATAGTTTCCAAAAGTCTTAGCCTTATTTGTGATGTTTTTAAAAGGGTCTACACTGTAWAATGCAGAAAACCTTCAGATGAGGGAACATATTTGAYTGTTTTTYGWATGTTTAATCCTCACTATCTCTGAAACAACAGCAGCTGYTATGATGAGTACACTTCTGATCACATCTCCCTAGTGTTAGCTTTACTTTGATACCAAGATTAGTTAAATAGTTGGTAAATGCTGAGACCCACTCAGTTACATTTGGACATATTATTTTAAGGAAATCCCTCGAGGCTGAAGAGAAACAGTTTTCTCCCATCGTTCAACTCCGTGTTTGTGTGTGTGCTGTTCATTAACTCAGCTTGTAGAGCAGCAATACAACACATCCAATCAGAAAGAATTGCCCCACACAAGTAAACGTAACTCCAGGATTTTTATTCTGACAGCCCGACAGAAACATGCAACAGCAAATGAGCTGCTTCTKAAAGAACTGTTCACATTTTCAGCAGTCAGGGCTGGTTTTGGGTGCAGTGTGTACATGTGTAGTCAGCTCACAGCTCTGGGCAACACCACAGTGAAGAGGGCTATACAGTAGATCAGGTTTTAAAATTTAAAATGTATGTTAGCCATAAATAAACAGGAAAACAGATGATCTTGMATATTGGACATTGGCGGCCCGATTTCTGAATATTTCATCAGTCACAAAAACACTTCATGAAYTGAAATCTGCTTCATATTTGAAGTATCAGGTACAGTTTGATTGATTTGTTGCCTTTAGTCACCAAGGTTTTTAGTTCAAGTATAAACCTTGTAAATACAAATCAATTTAGCTGAAGATTTAATTACTGTAACTATTGCATTGTCCCTTTAAAAGGCTAAAACAGCTGGATGTGTATTTAGTATGTGTTATAATGATCCTGCAGCTTTCTGGATGTTCCTAAATCCTTGCTTTGGAGTAAAATTAGCAACTTTGTAAGATGTGTACAATATTTATTAAATACCAAATTTGTTCACGTATTCATTTTTTGAGCTTAAAAAGCATTAAAAAAAATCTAATCATCAATAACCCGTGTATAATACTACCCCCCCACCACACACTCACACACACACTTTATGGGTGATTTGTAGGGTTAAATTACCAATATTATACATGAATAAATACAGTAAGCTGTCTGTAAACAGATGGGTGGGGAAAGTTCTTCTATTTTTATTTTTTTTGTTGTTGAAAGAAAAAAGTGAAATGAAGTGTGGTTCACAGCTTTACCTCCAAATGTGTGTTGCTGCTTGGGCTCAGCTGTGCTCGAGGCGCTGTGAATGCATGTTGTGTAACTGTGTGAGCTGGTGTCCTGAGTGACTCCTGCTCACATGCTGCAACATGATGCTGTGCTCACCTCACTCTTACTGTGTTTCAGATTTTCTACCCCGAAACCACCGACATATATGACCGAAAAAACATGCCCCGCTGCATCTACTGCATACACGCTCTCAGGTTGGTGCCTCTCAGCCCCGTCCACATTTAGTTCCTCTGAGCTCCACCAGTCAGAGCCCTGCTTGCASGACTCTTCTGCCCAACACTTAACATGCAGACAAGTGTGCAGAGGTCAACAGAGAGGCATTTGTTTTGCAGAAGAGGAATCTGTCCTTTACTGAAGTTTGTGTATACCCAGAGATCCTCTGACATTCTTGGCCTGAGCCTTTTTTTTGTGACGTTTTAAAGAGGTGCAGCTTTCTGAGGAAAGCCACTCAGAGGTGAAAGATATGGAGCTGTTGGTTTTATTGGATCATTTCGCTGCAGGTGAAAGACACGCAAAACCTTTTAAAAGCAAAAAGAGTAGTGGCAAAGTGTTGGTGTTTTTAAATGCTCACCAGCTCCCCCTGTGACATTTACACCAGCATGTTAGTGACTCTAATCACTTCAAATTATAAATCTGCTGGAAAMTGAAGCTGCACAGATTAGTTATTGTAGTCAACAAGTCAACCACAAAAATCATTTCTAACACAAACTTTATTGTGGACACATCATATACAGAGCTAATAATACACAGATCTGATCATAAAGAACATCAAAGTATTTTTATATCYGCAGTGTTCGATCATTTCTGTTGTTTACCAAGACTGCCCACAACGAAGAAGAACCTGAGGAAAACATCTAAACAGAGACTTTTTAAAGTATTTAAAAAATAAACTTTTTAAAGCGTGGAAGCATTTCGCTGAAAACCAACAACAAACTGAAGGCAGAGGYTTTTCTCCACAGCAGCACCGTTACACTGCTCTGCAGAGACGACAGCTTTAACTACGTTAAAATAAAGTTTCTGCATCGTGTTTCTTCTCTTTAAATAATGTGTCCACATAGTTTTTTTTTATTTTAAACAAAGGTTTAATAATAATCATCATGTGACTTGTTAGGAGCAGTAAATGTTAACATGTACTATTAGTTGGGAAAGAAAATCTTGAATAGAGTTTGCTAAATGAATTAAATATTTTTCTAACTAATTAAATGTTTTCTTCAACAGTCATTTCCTCTTTCTACTTTTTCATAAAAAAGGCCAATTCTTATTGACCATGACTAATTTATGATGCCTATAAAAGCATAAAACATCAAAGGAGCAAATATATTTTATTGGCAGTGTGTGTTTTTCAAAGTAAAATCACATTAACAGGCATGTTTGTCTGTTCTAGTCAGTTATAATGGATGGAAATAAGTTTTGTAAAGGAAAAAAAGTTCTGTAATCTTTGACATATGGGACACCAACCAATTTGCTTCTTCCTTGAAACTACCACTGTCAAAGATTACAGGGCACTGTGTATATCAGATGATTGTAGGGAAATGAGGTGTTAGGTTTGTAACACATATCTGTTTCTAATATACACTTTAGTTTTCTTGCATCTGGAAAAAATTGTCCTTTTTTTATTTTTATTTTTTGTACAACCTTATGTTTCTATAGGACTTTATGGTGGAATGTACACTTCATTTCTGCCCCAAAAATAATGAGTTTCAAAATAAACTAACACACAAAATACAAAACAGCATGACCATCATTGTTTTAACACTTTGCATCAATAAAGTTAAACCAATGTGCCTMTAATAAAGTCCGTTTATTAACATAATTTTTCAGCAGTTTGAAAAGCTAGCTTTCAATGTCTCCAGTTTATCCAAACTGACAATGACTTTCTTTATCTGGAGCTTTGCAGCCACATAAATAAACCTGTCACTKTGTTGAGACAAGAAATCTGTTGTTTTCACATCTTAAGTGTTTAAAGGCAGKGAGGTGTGCTTGACCAATCAAATCACTGTAACCTCTAACACAACAGCTATTAAATATAAATATAATATATAAATTAG